ACACACACACACACACACACACACACACACACACACACACACACACACACACACACACGTTCACACACACACACGTTCACACGCAAATATTAAAAGGCCCCTTAAAAATATATATAGATATTTTTTTTTTTCATTCCTTGATTGTTTCTTTAGGACACAAATTAAAAAACCAAAAAAAAACGTAAAAAAGAAGAATACAAAGAACTGCCAACAAAAAATCCCTCCCCCAAAAAAAAACTTTTTTTTTTTTTTTTAATTTCTCTTCTCCACCTTTTCTGTTTTTTATTTTTTATAATTCTAAAAACTTATTTTTTTTTCAGAAAAAAAAATAGGGTTGTAGGGATTAAAAATCCCTACAACCCCATATATATATATATATATATTTTTACTCATTATTTAATTCAGGAAAAATATGGTAAATTCGCGTCTGTGGCGCGGACGAGGTCGGCCACGGACGCGGCCGTATATACGGCCGCCATTCGAGCTGGACCCCGCGGACACGTCCGCGGGTGTTTCATAGGCTTGGAGGACAGACACGGAGGGTGAGTTTTGGGGGATCTTGTTTGGAGAAATGCAGGACGACCACCTAGATTCGATCACGGACGAGCTGTTGGTATTCCTGGCCCAATTACTAGATGATCTGCCTTCGGAGATACTTTCCCGCTGCGACGAAAGACCGGGAACGGCCACGCTCACTCGTACCTTGGCCCCCCATCTCATGTGGTCTACGTGCACGGAGCTCGACGGGGACCATTGCTGTTATCCATCTGAAGGCGCTTACCTGGTGGTCAATTATCACTGATCTTTCCTTTTGGGATCCTCTCATCCGGCGAGTGAACGTAGGAGAAACCGACGAGGAAGCCGAAGAAGAGGAAGAGGCCGAGGAGGAGATCGAGGGGGGCGATTATCTTCACTATACGGAAGGAGAGGAGACGCCAGAAGAGGAAGAATCGGAGGCTGACTCGGACGATCCCGATTATCAAGAATCAGGAAACGTCGAGTCGGGAGAAGCCAGCTCGGACCAGGAGGAGTCGGAGGAGGAAGAGGGTGAATCACGTGAATCGAGTGGCCCCGACAAACTGAGCAGGGAAGAGCGAGAGGTCGTGGCACAACGGAAACGGGCAGCAGCAGAAGGCAAACGGTCAATCGAGGAATCAGGAGGGCCACCACCTCAACTGTTGCAGGGCCATCCGGCTCTCAATTCGGAACTACCACAAGAAGAGGCAAAGGGAAATGGAGGCACCACGACAAAGGGATCGGGAAGCCGGCGCCGCCGAAGAAGTGAATCCCCGAACCAATCCTCTCCCCGTCCCAGCCTTCGCCTAGGTCGAGATGCGAGCGCTCGGGCTTTGTCCCCGGTCGTTATCCCGTCATCCCCATGAGTTCCTCACCCTTTACCAGCTTATAGGTCGAACCCCATTCCCCAACAGATGGCACCCCTGCCCCCCTGCCCTCTTCCACCATCTCTACTCTACCCGCCTCCTGGTTACCGTCTTCCCGCACACTACCACTCGCTCGCTCGTCGCTTCTTTCCCCCTCCACGTCCTTCTCTTTAGCATGGATTGGCAGAAATTCAATAATATAAAGTTGTATTGCATCATTGCGGGCACGATCCCAGCGTGCGAAGAGTATGATGATTTCCACATTGCTATCCACCGCGCACCCTTTGCACGCTCTATCCCGATTACCTCGCCTCCCTTTCCCACCAAGGTCGACACCCGCATTTTTCCCGCATCCACCACAGGCTTCATTACACTCAACTCCCCACTGACGATCGAGAGATCCTCCGCTTAATGCCTCCCCTCCCCGAAGCTCATCCACCGCCTCCTTCGCTTGTGATTAAATTACCCTTCCCCGGTAATGTTTAGGATTGAAGCCCACGACTGCCACGTAGGACGACTTCCACACTCTTTTCTTATGGTAAGTGGCACGTGTCGGCTTCGCATCGCTTTGTAGAACGGGCGATGAACCTTGAAAGAAGCAAGCAGGAGCTTGCTCAGGAGTGAAACCCCCTGAGCGTCACATATGTGACGAGCTGTCTTCTGTAACCGCGCTACTTTCTGCGCGACGCTGCTTTGGGGGAGCGGATCGGGCTAATCGGGTGAAGTGTGGGGGACGGGGTCAATGGGGCAAATTGCATGGGTATCCTCACTTTTTCTTTTCTCTCTTCGGCGATGTCGGGCCAGGGCCAAGGAAGTCCCGGGCGGACGGTTGAGGGGGCGCGCCACGACATATGCAATCAATAACGGTTGCCATAGGTTCTTTCTTGTTCCGCTGGGGCGAAGGGGAACGGGAATTTTGGCGCGATGACCTCGCGGGAACATCGTTTTTCTTTTTCGAAATTTTCTTTCAACTGATGTCAAGCCCCCGTGGGCTCCTCGGAATTGTTTTTTGAGTTTTCGTTCTTTGGAATTTTTTTTTTCTGCAATTTGGATTTAGATAGGAATTTAGGAACTTTGAAATTTTTGTTGCATTGTGCTTCTTGCTTGTTGCGCGCCTTCCTGCGGCGGGAGCAGAGTTCTGACTGAGTGGCGCCCTTAATCTTGTGTGTAACTGTAACTTTTGGTGGGCGCAATTGTAACTGTATCTCTCTTCTTGATTCCCTCGCCTTCTTCCTGCTTCCTGCTATGCATGTGCCTCACTACGATCTGATCCATCAAAACGTTGCATGCTCATATCGATGCGTGGAGAGTGGCTACGTCCCCCACGCCGCCTGGCCATGCAGAACGTAGGCACTTCCTTTCTCCTCCCCTCTTTCTCGAAAGCGCAATCTCGTATCTGTCGCGCATGCATGCACAGCGTTGCATGCCATAAATCTTGTGAGCGCAATTAAACCTCTCTCTAAAACTTCGGGAAACTCCAAGGATTAGCGCGATCAGTGAGGGTCGGCTAACGTGTAAGTGAAGAGGTGAGTGGATGTGGAAGTTGGGCGACCCAACGAGCTGGTGCTGAGTATGCGGCGTTGACGTGCGGGCCGCGACGGACTGTGGCGCACGGGCGAACCTGGCTGGCGTACGCGGATCACGCGGGGTGACAACTCCGTGAGTGATGCGAAACTACGGACTGTCCGCATCGGAGAAAGAGAGAGAGAGAGTGGGGAACAGACCGGTGTGAAATTGCGACCTTCTTTTCTTATGTCCTTTGTAAAAAATTTTGGTCTCGGGCGAAACGCCATCGTTTTCATCTTCGATCTATTTCCTTTTCATGCCGATCTACTCTCCCTCCTGCTTTTTGATACCCATCGATGGTTGGGAATTAAAACGTCTCGAGTTGTGGGATGTATGTGCCAATCTGCGCCTCATCTTTGCATGAATGAATGCATGTATGTACGAGGATCCGACGAACGCATCATTGAATGGTTGCGCTCTGCGTCGGGAAAGAGTTGTGAGATTGCCATTTGATTTCTTGTTGATATGAATGAATGGAGTATGACTTTCTCGAAAGCAAGGATGTCTGGGTTGGTGAGCGGTTGGCTTCAGTTATGCATGACATGGGTTTTTACTTGGATTAGATGATCGCACCACAGGGGACGCTAGAAACAGTCCCATCGACTGCAGGCGCGATCTCGAGTGCCCACATGTAAGTGCGACCGCCAGAACGCGACTTACACGCGTGTACACAAGACCCGCCCACGGAAGGCTATGATGGAATCGACCCTTCTCCGCCGGTATGGACGTTGAGACCCCTTTTTACATCACGGATCGCGAGAGTCTAAGGCATCGGCGATTCCGGGAACATTGGGAACGGGAGCGTGCCTATCAGGCCGCGCGACCCCGGGCCCCATTTCCGGAATTTCCTTACCACACCGGAACGGAGCGCGTATGCAAGTGGGACATCGAACGGGGCGATCCCCTTTTTGCCCCAATTTCCCCACTCGCATACACGCCACGTCATCGCTGAACCTGGAGTAGCCATCGTCGAGACTAATTACCCTCCCTACCGCCTCGTAATCCCTTTTCATTGCCTTACGGCGGTCCCTTGGAGCGCGATCGTCCCTTACTGGCCACGCACCCTGTGCTCACAGTGTCGGCAGGACCGCGCTTACTGCACGGCAGGATTTGTTCGCCGAACCCGGACTGAGGCAGACCAGCGATCCCACAGCCTCTGACTGAGACCAGCCTCGTCGGATTCCGAAGTCTGCCATGAGCAGCGCCAGCGGCTGATCGCCCAGCGCGACACACACAGCGTCCCGATGGTCCATTGGATACTGGACCGACCGAGATGGCGACACTCACACCGGAGGTAGCCCGGTCTCCTGAAGTCCAATATAACTCGGGATTACCAGCTTGCTCAACTACCCCCAAGCTTGCCACCGAAGATCTCAGTTCTGACCTGGGACTCCACTACAATTTCCAAAAATCCTTGGCACACCCCTTTTTCGCACTTTCGGGGCCCCATCCCACTCCGAATAGGAAATCGCGCTGGGCATGAGGTTGGGCATCACAATGTGCTCTCCCTGTCTGGGGTCTCAAAACTATGAAACATTGCTATACAATATTGATTGGCATATTCACAGTTGAGGGAAGGAGGTTGATTGCCAGCGGAATAAGTATCCCCCACCTATAGCAATCAAGGAGGACTTATTGAAGAGGGTGGGGGTGGGAAGGGGTCTGGGAAGACTTGAGCACGTTTTTTTTTTAATCTCGTAAGGCTTGAAGAGAGGTGATGAAGGACTTGATTGACCGGGCACAGGGAAGTCTCATCCGTGATTGGAACATCCAGGAGAATATCATTGTTTTTTTTTTTTTTTTTTTTACTACTAGAGGGAGTGATAAGAGCAGCCTCCTCTAGTATCTGTCCCTGGTTGCTCCATCTACTAGTGGGGAGTTGCACCTGTTGGAAAACGGGTCCAACGTCTCTTTACAAAAAGAAATATTCATACAATAGGGCAGACTAAGGACATTGGGACAGACGTGCTTCTTCACCCCTAAAATAAGGCGCCTGAACTAGCTTGACATTCCTAGCATCTTCCCACACCATGTATGTCTATAAAAACTTTGCTGTAATCTGTTTGAGCCCACCTGATCTATAATACAATAAGAGCCCAAAATTTTTAGTTTAATTCCCTTCCCGAGCATACCATTGAAGGTCTACCAGAGAAGGCTCAGAAGGTGGAAAAGGATCTACAAAAGACATTCGGGATCTAAGTGAAACGGTTTTCACCTTTTAGCAGTAGCGGATGCAGTACCCAGGGTTCGATCCCTAGACCTCACCCTACCCATGTACAGTATCTGTGTAGACCCCGGGAATCGAACCTGTGACCTGTGTATTCGTAGGCAGTTGGTAGGTCTGTCGTAGGTCCATAGGCAGCAGGGGTTCGATCTGTAGGTCTATAGCGTAGGACTCTTAGTGAGTTCCGGAAGCTTAGCTGCAGACCTTCTAGAAGGTAGGCAAGTGGGCAAGTGGTCAAGTGGTGAGGCAAGTGGTGGACTAAACCGCAGTGCAACAGCAGTACAACGTCGGTAGGATAGCGGTGAGTCCACAGTCAGTCAGCAGAAGGTCCAGTCAGTCCCAGTCCGGTCCAGCAAGTACCACAGGGGGACTGTGAGCACCAAGGGTCGATGGCAAAGGGCATACCAACGAGTTTTTGAAGTATAAATCAAGAGGCAGCGCCCAGCCATTCATTCATTCCTGCGTGAGCCATGCGGAAGCGCTGCCACAGCGACTTGTGCAAGGAGGTCTGCAGATGAGCCCGGAGGACGCAGTGGGCAAGAGAGGAGGAGTTAGCATAGCGATAGGTTAGAGGCAGCAATAGCTGCCATAGCTGTAGTTAGTAGTGAGTGTGTGTGTGTGCTCGAGTGTTAGAGTGATGCGTGTGGGATATCCAGGGTGATCCAGTGTATGTGAACAGTGAGATGTTTG